GTAATTTCTTTATTGATTGAAAATATTACAGATTTACGCGACAGTAGATTCATCAGATGGCGAATTACACGGAGAAAAAGCAGTACTTTATGTGAGAACCGGGGCAATGAACGTTAATAAAAATGCGCATATTAACAATAGCAATGTTAATGATAACAGTAATATCATGACAACAACGATTCAATCTCAAGAATGGGAATTAGAATCTGAAAATAGGATTAAAGATGATCGAGATTTATCTGCTGCCATCAGCAATGATATAAAAGTGGAAACATTAGACGTCAGGGAACCGTATTACGATGATAATAATTTGAAAACTGTAGTAAGCTGGTTTAGGAATGGTTTATGCAACAGGACAAGAATTAAATATATGATAAGGTTAGCTTTAAATAATTAAATTATAAGATCTGTCGAAATGAATGGTAAAAAGTTCTTCAATAACACTTAATTATTTTGAAAGAAAAAAAAAAGACAGACAAGCAAGCATTTTTGATTTTCAACAGTGCTGTCTTTCAGATGGCGTTTATTAATGTGTCAAATAAAAGAGAATGAACGTGTTACTTATTATGATTTGGATTCATCTGATGAAGATTGGGCACAAATGGAAGTTCAGGAATGTGTTGCAGTACTGGAAGATCTTGATTTTGCATGCTCATACAATGTTGAACTTGTTAGTACCAATATTAAAAAGGTTATTAAATTTTGATAAACTATCAAGCAGACCATATTTTTATCTAATTTAATAAAAATTTTCTATTTTGTTTATGTTGTATAAATTGATAATTTCATAATTTTGACTAAACTGATATTTATTTGATTTAGCATCGATTTAATATTTTTTCGTTTAGATCATTGCAAGAGCTCGTTTCGAGACACAAAGCTGCGAGAAAACTCCATCAATGATTGCTCTTACTTGCAACGATCAATTAACTTCCCACTCCCTTTCCTGTATTACTAATTCGAGAAATAACTCGATACAGTGTAACTGGAAAAATACAAATGGTACGGAAAGAAATGTTGGCTATCGAATTGTACTCAGTAAATCCGATACAGATGATAATCAAATAGTGATTATACCACCACAAAGTACTAAAATTCAATTTGATAACCTTGAACCGGATCACAATTATCTCATTCATGTACAAATGATAACAAGTAATGGTCTTGGCAATACATTAACAACATCTTTTCGAATTAACCGGAATAAGACTGTCGAGAAACCTTCAACATCTCTTTTATCTGATCATCACAGAAATAATACAGTATCTCAGATGACTAACATAATTATGCATCATATTGGTGATGATCAAATATCACAGAATATTGATTTGCAATCAGTAATGAAAGAAGATAGTGGATTTTTGTATAATAATGAAAGATTTCCAGGTGCTACGGTACTTGAATTACCATTAGAAAGTATTGCTTCAGGTGCAATTAGGTGGACAGTTTTATATTTCATTTGTTTAGATTTATTGTTAAGGTATTTATTCACTGTTAATACATTATGATACTACTCAAATTGTATATTAGTAATTAAGAGAAGAAAGATTACTCAAGAAAAAAGCGGATAGTAGGATTGATATTTTTGAGAAAAATAATTTTTAAAGATTCATTGTAATCTGAGAATTTCATTTTAATGAGTTCAAAATAAAATTCTGAAATTATAATGAATTCAAAATAATTTTTAAAGCTTAATATACTTGAGTAAAATGATTTATCCTAGCTCAACTTTTCGCTGCTCTCTTTTATAATTTTGGTAGGATTGATATTTTTGAGAAAAAATTAACAATTAATCTCTTTCTTCAACAGTAATTCATTTTTGTCACTATGTTTTGTGATTTTATAGGAGCTTCAGGGTACATTAAAATCCTTTTTTCTTTCCCTCTCTCTCTTTCCCTCTTTCTCTCCCTTTCATTCTCATAAAAAGGACTTTTTCCAGTCCTTAGACATTACATTAACTGAATAGAATAAATGATAGGTGAAATGTTGTAATTAAGTTGAAAAATTTTGTAATTTCTTGTTAATTTTTGAATGAAAAAAAAGGAGAGTAAAGAGCAATTTATTAATTATAGTGATAAATTACATCGGGCGTTTTTGCCGCACTGTTTTAGTATTTATTGTGATAATATTCTTTGAAAGGGCGCAATAATTAAAATTAATACACAATATAAAAATTATAAAGTACCACCGATGAAATACGTGAAATATGCATGACAAAAATGTATGAAGAATTTGAATACGGGAATAGAACGAACACAAAACTTTTAACTTTCAAGTATCATATAGCAAGTTAAGAAAGACAGTAAAAATAACTGTAAAAAAATTGAAAAATTTATAACCATTCAATACATATCTGAATAGTTGAAGAAGATAGTGTAGCGGGGATAAGATCAGATAAAAAAAATTTAATCCAAAAATATCTCGCATATTCAGATCAATTAGATCAGCGGTATCAATCACTACAATCAATTTTTCATTCGGAATATTCATTACAGCATGATATGCTTGCAGTGCTATGAACGGTTGCTTTTAAAGACAAATATGTTAACGTTTAAAAAAGTATGATAAATAAAAGTTGAACAAAAGCGAGAACGGTAATTGCAAATTAGATATCATGCTGTTAAAGATGTATGACGCGATCATTTTTTTCAGAAATTTTCAAATTTAAAACAACAAATGATTGATTTAAGTTAAACGCTTTAAATTAGCAACTTTTGCTCATTTGTATTGTTGAATGTCAAATAGACCAGATTTTTCGATTTCACCATTTAAATGGAAAAAGCCATGACATCACAGGTATCTTTCATTTTTCTAAAAAAATGAAAATAGATGAAAGATATCTATGATGAAACAAGAATTTGTGGAAATAAAAAAAACATTAAACAAAATTCCAAGCCTGCAGCCATTTGGCTACATAAAAAAACGCTATTTGATAAATAACTAGAGCTAATTAATAACTAAATTTAACTATTATTCAGTAACAAATTAAAAGCATAAATAGCATGTGACAAAAATAAAATAAGGAAAAATTAAAATTAAATTTTAATATCTGTAACATCGTTTATTGGTGGATATAAGATGCTGAAATGTTGCATAAAGTGATTTCTCGAATGCATTCTTCATTTGATTTCCATTTTATTCTTCTTTCATAATCATGTCTATCACGTAAGTTAGTAATTGGTTGAATATGATATTCTTTTAATCATTTCTGATTCAATAATTTATTCATAATAATTTGATTGTACACACTGTCAAATATGAGTAGTAATTTCGATAAATAATTTTTGTTTGGGAACATATAAGCAAATAGTTTTGTCGCTAATAAAAAAGATATAATAGTTATTAGAAGTAATAAATTATTTTTCTAAATTTCAATTAACTAAATGTAATGTTTTCTTAATTCTCGGAATGCAAGCAATTAATTGAATAATTTTTTTTTTTAATTTGTCGAAACACATCGATTATCGATCTCCCAAAAGATCAATAACTGATATAACCTGAATTCCTCATCATTTCTATTAGTGGCATTTGCATCAGAAGGGCTTCCAATATTTTTTTGCTAACGAGTAAGTCTTTTGAAATGTGTGTCGTGGAGGTTTTTAAGGATGATTTGACTTAGTTGAAATAGTTTGCTGATTGATTTACTGAGTTCATAATCCGCTGACGATTTTATTTTAATGATTTATTTCAGTAGAAGATGTATAGCGATTCAGATAAGACTAGAAATTATAACTACAATAATCTACTGTGAAATTTTTGGAATATTTAAATTCTTGAACGGGATGTGAGTTAGGGGGTGTCATGATACAATTAAATTAGCCACAAAAATAGCTATGGAAAGGAATGATTTCACAATAAAAAAATTTTAAAAATGATCATGAAAAAGAAATATGTAAATGAACAGCCGGATAAAAAATAGTTTTTATGATGAGAATTTGCCAGTTACAAACAAAAAAAGATGTAAAGCTCACTTACATTTCTCACAGATGGTGAATCTTCAAATCCTTATCAAATTGTCAATCATCTGATTATCCAATTCTTTAAAAGGAACAAAAGAAATACTTGACTATAGTTAGGAATTAATTTCGGATTTCCCAACAATGTGTTCATAATACAAAACGTGAAATTGAAAACTGTTAACAAAACGAAATTTGTACGGAATCATCTTTTCGCATAGGACATTGCTATGAACATATGAAACATTTATATATTAAGTATTCAAACACTTTTGTATCATCTATGTAATAGGCTTCAGAGCTTATAGATCAGTCTCCACAAAACATTGCTATGAACTCAAGAAACACGTGTTTCGATCAAAATACTTATAGATCGACTAAATTTGAAATCCATATCAGCTGTATTTTCTATAAATCAAAATACTTTGATATACAATTTCAATGTACATTCTGTTATAAAAATGATCATTCTACTAAAATCTTCAACAGTTAATTTCACGATTCAAGAAGCCGTTAAACGCCCATCATATTTTATTAGTCATTTAAACTACTTTATCAACATCATTTTCCATTAATTTTTGCAATTGTTGAAAATCTTTCAAGAGCTGCAAAATCTCTGATGTTTTCCGCAATCGCCGCTTCTTTGTTCTCCACTTTTTCTTTTTCAACCCAAACTACTTCATCCATCCTTTTTTGTTCCGTTAACGTCACCTTTGCCATTTCTTTCTTTCCTCTTCTCCACACCGATGGTTCGTTATTCAATTCCATCCGTCCGTCATATTCCTGTCTTCATTCAATTTACTTTTCCGCAAATCAGTATTATTTATCTTAAATAATATGCGCAAAAGTTTTAACTGTCGCATATAAAATTAAAAAAAAAAATCGATCTTCGAATCAATCGGTTTCATATTTTCATAATATATTAAAATACAACATCATATTTCATATAAAATTTCCATTAATTATGATCATTGGATATAGTTGAATGTGAATGAATATTGCTAAACCGGAATAGAAATCAATGACTATATCCTTTAAAATTACGATATTTCATCATTCACAGTACAATCGTTCCGGATTTGACTAAAATAGCGAAACTAGAATTACGCTAACGAGAAATTTGAAAAGATCAATGCGGTCAGTTATACAAACATTCAAGTTCAACACCTTAATTGTTTTGTTTTTTCCAAATTCAGTTGCTTATCACAAGCAAAAATTAGCAAAATTGATATGTCCTTCTAAAATTAAAAAAAAAAACTGCAAGGTTTAGCTTTCACAAATCGATGACATGAACTTTAAAATTTGCAATTTAAAAAGTGAAAACTTTATTATTCGTTATTGTTCACCTTCATTTTGGTCTTATCAGAAATTAGTTTGCAATAATTAGAAGAAAAGAGCATGAAAAGATACAATGTGATTCGACAAACCTAAAATGCATTTCTAATTTCAGTACTGACGAATTGCATTAAACTGAAACGGAAATTAAATCCGCTCAGTTAAATTGCAAAAAAAAGAATGTTTTTCATACTATTTCTAAGGAGCAGTATGAATATGTACCGTCCGTAATTCTCAATATCATAAAAATGTCGAATAAATGCTTCATATGATATCATAATAATTTTATCTTCAGCATTATTGATGAATTCAATGAAGTATACAGTGTTATGTAATCATCATTGAGAAATTCATTTTACATCATTAAATACAGATACATATCTCTGCTAATTATTTAAATAAAACTTTCTCAGAACATCAAATCCTTTTCTCAACATGTTATTATAAATCTGGAACTATCTTACAGTTACTTTTTGCAACTGAAAAATTTTATTTTTTCGATCAACATAGTCTAACGTGTCAGAAATGATCAAATTGTTTAATATGCACACATACACACACACACACCCACACATACACACACATACATACATAATTTCAGAGACTGGAAATATTATGCGGAAACAATTCATGGAGTTAAAAAGCTACCGTTTATTGGACCTACCGTTGAAATCCTCAATAGTTCCTTTCAGTACAATTCATTGTTTCGAGAGTATAAATCGAACTGTAATCGTCACTGCCAACAACAGATAAACCGACACTTTATTATTTAAATCTCCGATCGAGGAATTTTATATAATAAAGGGAGGACATCACAGATCATACTTCTGCATCTTTTCTTAACTTTGTTTCATTCATTTCAGTTTAGCTTTTACTTTCTTTCAGATATGAAAACGATAAAATCTAACTAAAAAATCGATGCTACAAATATTAGCATGATAAAGTGATTAAGGCCATATTGTATTTTCACTTCGTTAAATTAAACACATCGATTAGCGCGACTGAAATAGCAAAATTTAAAATACTCATATCGCTCATTTAATAAAGCTAAAAAATTGAAGCATTCCATTTGTCCATAATTCTCACACACAATTTCCATGAAAAGTTCTGCTAAATTTTCTTTAAAAGAAAAAAAATTTTATTAAAATATTTCAAAGGAAATAATTTATTCGTTACACATTAATAACTTCTATAAACGAATAGACACCGAAATAATC